AAGTCCTTCTCCTGTTGTCCTCTCACATCAAAATCCAGCCACATATTTGTTTAGAGCTGTTTTGGCTTGTAAACGGTGCTTGATCTGTGCAGATTTCTCTCCTGATTCAGACCAGACGACATTTTCACTGGAGGAAGCGTTATTATGGATAGAGGACTCGTTTTTTAGCCAGAAGCGACGGTTTGAAGTTAAAAACATCATAATGATGGATTTGTTTCAGCTTTTTGCCTCTCAAGACATTAACTGATGGACTGGAGTGGTGTGGATTACTTGTGGATTATTGTGATGTTTTAATCAGCTGTTTGGACTCTCATTCTGATGGCACCCATTCACTGCAGAGCATCCATTGCTGAGCAAGTGATGCAATGCTACATTTCTCCAAATCTGATGAAGAAACAAACTCATCTACATCTTGGATGTCCTGAGCCATTGACCCATTTTTGGGTGAACTATTCCTTTAATCTCAAAAGACATCTGAGCAACACTGACACGAGCAACACTGACACATATCGGGGCAAAAACACCAATGCAACTTACCTGCGATAGTCAAGCGGGCTCTCTGGCTGAGAATAGATCCATATTTGTTCTGGGCAAGGCACTGGTAGAACCCTTCATCTGATTTGTCCTTACGACTTTCCACCTCTGAGATGAACAGAGAGCCGTTGGTGAGCAGGTAAACGCGCTCCGACTCTGTGAGCGCCGCTGCGTTCTTCAGCCAGCGGATGCCGATGGGAGCCTCGCCGTGGGCCTGACAGTCCAAAATCACAGCGTCCCTCCTCATCGCCGTCACATCATGGGGCTCCTTTATAAAAAACAGCTCACTAAAACTCATCACACCTGCAGAGACAGAGAGAAGAAAGCGAGTCAAACTGTTGCCACTGAGTGAGACTCTGAGATGCAGTAATCATATTCGACCGTAATCCCCTTATTCATGGCTCATGAAGTCAGTAGAGACTCGATCCTCGTCTAAAGAAGAGCTGTAATTTATTCCCAGCATGAAATTCACTAGACATTTAGCAGCCCACCGTGACTAGAGCTGCTACGAGAGCAGGACAAGCAGGAGAATAAAAATGGAAATAAAAACACTTTATTAAAGGATTCAAAAAGAGCATTTCAAGAATATAATGTTATGCATTTATGACTTGGGAACATTTTAGCATTTTTATGAGATGCATCGCTCTTCATAAGTTATAAAGTGGCTTGAAATGTTCTTTTTGTGCACAACGAGAAATAAAGAGAAGGAAGAAGAAAAACATCTAAATGCAGAAGAGTAAAAAATATTGGCACTTTGGTGTCATTTTCACAATATAAAATGTTTCAACTATTATAAACGTTTAATATATCGGCAGTCATATTGTATTAAGTCAGGTATGAAAATGCATAAATATGAAAAAAGCTTTATGATGTAACTATTCACTAATAATCTGATCTGCATCACATTGTGCAAGAAAGCTTGTTAATATCAAAGTGATAGCTAAAATAGCTTTCTTTATATAAAATAGCTATATTTCAGATTATGATTCACTTATTTGATGTTCATAAACATTCACCTCTGAATATGCATAATGTGCTTCATGATATTACCAACTATTTTGATTATGCAAGAAGCAGTTACGCATAATATAATGCAAGAATGTTTGTGAAATGAAATTTAAAGACACTTCAAGAAAATCAGAATGTGTAATAAAACATTGTGATGTAAGAATCATTTTAATCTCTTAACATTGAACATTTGCATAATTCCCGACGCTGCTTTGAAGTTTGTTACATTATGTTCCGCGCGCGTGAGTGAATCAAATCAATGTATCAATCAGTGGATTTCTATATGTATTTAACGCTCTGACAATTAATTCAGTTGTATGCAATCACATATTTATGAAAAAAAGTGTAATTAAATATACATTTAATGGTCTTTTATATATAATTCTTAGGTTTCAGTGCATGAAATCCCTCATCCTGCACTTTTAAGTCACGAAACATCCTGAGGTTCATTCATAACTCATTCCTGTTCGTGCAAATATGAGATAAACGCTCTTACCTGAGATTGATAGAAACACTGCAAGAAACAGCAGACGCTGGAATAAATCCTTTTTAAAAGACGCCATTTACTCTGGTGGTCCGCGAATGCCTGAGCCCGTGGATCGCGGACTCGAGTTCCACACGCTTCTGACTGAACGGAGCGCGCGATGCCGCTGACCTCTGCGTGCGCACTACTTCCGCGGACGAACACCGATCCCGGAGCTCGTGGCGTGACGCGGCTCATCAGTGAGTGAGGAGATTCCTCCGCCTGCGGAACGCTCCACGACCGGAGTGACGTCACAGGGATTCCCACTTTTGAAAACAGATGTTCAGAGATTGATATTCATGAGCAGATATAAACACGAGCGATGTATATATATATATATATATGTGTGTTGTGTGTGTGTGTGTGTGTGTGTGTGTATATATATATATATAAATGTATTTTATATTCAATAAATTTATTTATTGAAAGACGTTTTCAAAATCATCAATCATTTAGATTTTTAAATAACTCAAAACAATATTAAGGAAATCAGAACTATTTGTGTTAATAAATAAAATAATATTCAACATATACGTGTGTGTGTGTGTGTACAGCGTTGAGGAGTAGTTACGTTTAACAGTGTTATGTAATTTAATTACAAAATAATTGTAACTGTAATCCGTTACAGTTATTTATTTCCCAAATTGCATTGATTGCTCTAAAATATGAGACACCAATGTTTCAGGAGTTTAGGACACAGAATAGGACACATACATATTCTATAACTGTTTTATTTCCTGTTTGTGTTTATGTATATGCTTTATTTTTTAGGAATAACTTTTTTCCAAGGCATTGCTAAATGCCAGTGTTTCCTGTCATTATTGTGTGTGTGCATGTGTGTTGGTCAGTTATTTCAGACAGAATGAGTGTTAACAGCACTGGTTTCTGCCAGCTGATGAAACAGATCCAGATCTGCCCAGTATCGATGTGTTCAGCTCGACAGCTGCAGACTGAAGGAACAGTATTGATCTGCTCTCCGGTCGCTCTGTCGGTGTGGAGCAGAAGTGTGACCTCCTCTCCCTCCGGACAATAGTTCTGCTCGGACTACAGGTCAGGAAGAACAATGGATCTGTTTAGTGAATATCAGGAGAAAAGAGCCTGAGTTCAGTTTCCCACAGACAGCAAACACAGAGAAACAGCAAACTCACCTCAGACTTCAACTCAGCCATTTCTAAAAACACAAAGCTGCATCTGTTGTTTTTATCCTATAATTGATCTTCAAGTTTTTTGCCATTTATTTATACTTTTTTTGCCTTCATTAGTTCATTTTAAATGGTCCTGCGTTGACAAAGGAATTCATAACAGAACAAATATATAATTTAGTCTTTCAATTAAAATCATATACAGCACACATAAAAAAGGGCAAAATGTTTTTATATCTGGTCTTGTTTATATTGAATGCATGTCACACTGTATAAAACTTCCCAGAAGTCAACTATACAGGAATATATAATGTAATTATATTGTAAATTGACATTTATATCTCATACATCTCATTTATCTCTCCCTCTCTCTCTCTCTACACACACACACACACACACACACACACACACATGAAGATGAAATAAAATATAAATATTAGGTGAAAACCTTGCATGAAAATTATAGACGTTGCCTTGGCAAATTAAATACATTTAAGTACTAAAATTGATAAAACTAAAATAAAAATGAATTAAAGCTAAATAAAAAAGTACACATACACACACATATGCATATATATATATATATATATACATATATATATGAATAATGAGAAATAATAATAAAATATAACATCATGATCAGTAATAATAATAAAATCATAATCAGCATTAATAATTATGTCTCAGTAAAAACTGAATAAATCTTGCAATAAAAAGTGGGACTGAATAAATTCTACTGTAGTTTAGTAAACCTCAGTCAGTTTGCTGCATCACCATCATGCAGTTATCTGTATCTGCGGAAAAACCATGTCATTAGTTCCATTTCATTTTGGAAGCAGCAGCTGATAATATGCTAATCTGATCAATAAGAGATCAAATCAATATGAGATTCTCACAACAGAGCGAAAGAAGATCCGGCATGTATTCTAAGACCCTTCTCATTGGACACTTTCCCACATCACCCCGCCCCCTCGGCAGAAAGCCACACCCCTCTGACCCCAGCAGTGTCCCAGAGGTTGAATGAAATGGTGTGTGACCCGTCAGCTGACCTCTGAAGGATTGTGGGGCAGCAGCAGTGGGCATAAAGGGGGATGGGAGAGAAAAGGGGGAAACAACAGCATTGCTACTCACTCCTGCTGTAAACTCTCTCTGCACAGCTCTGAGGATTTTACTACTTTAACAGTATATTTTTATATACATTTTAATGTGTTTAACTCCAGTAATTTATGCAAAGTAAAGGTATAGTTCTCGCAAAAAAAAAAGTATATACAGGCTTTATCTAATTATTAGATCAATAAAGAATTATACCACAACACAAGCGTCCTAAAAGTTTACATCGATATTGCGATGCATATATATATATATATATATATATATATATATATATATGTAAACAAACATTTTATTTGTATAATGTTATAATTCAATAATAACAAAAATAATAAATAAAACATTTGATTCCATTTGTATAATAATACTACATATAAAAAACACAAATATAAATAGATATATAAAAAATAAATATCATTCAATACCATTTGTATTATAATAATAAGTATTAAATTATGGACCTTCCAAGAGAGGATGTGCTTCCCTTTCTTTCTTAAACATCTTCAGGATTTTTTCTGTGCTACATTCACCTTCTTCTGTTCACTTGCGGGCGTTTCCTGTAAAAGTTGCTTTGAAACAATATGCTTTATGACAGCTGCTTTACTAATAACAATTAAAGACTTGTATTAGTATGCACTGCAAATAAAGACCACATAAACCTCAATGAAGACATCATATCGGAAGAGTCGTTTTCATTTTATTCATTTTCCAAAAACACGTAGCCATAAAGATCGGCGTGACAATTAAAATCAGCACAACTGACATTAAAATGAAAGACACGTTTGCTCATAAATCTCTGATAGAAAACCCTTTCTGAAACTCACTCTCATCTGTGCCAAAAACCTTTGTAGAAATGCAGTGGCTGTTCATATAATAGTGTCTAATTATACAACAGTGTCCACGATAAAAGTGTTTCTTCATTAAAAGTTGCTCGTCAGCACACAGAATCAAATAGTTTCATATTACAAAATGAAGGCAAAGTTATTTAACAGTCCGATACGTTTCTTGCGAGACAAAATGTGCTTACTTTAAGCAATATTTATGCTGTAAACATTTAGTAAATGATACGAAGCAATGATTTGTCACAATACAGCTTGACTGAGGTGATCTATACATAGTAAGACTTGAAACGTTTGTTTTTAGAAAAGTGCTTCAACGTTCACAAGCTGTACAAAAAATGATTTTAATAAGCATATGGTTTTCAAAAGTGGGCTATCTGTAAACAAAAAAACCTGTAAACAAAGTCAAAGTGAGAAAAAGTCATGATTAAGAGCAATAGTACAAACAATGATGCCTGGATACCTTTGAATTTCAACTCAAAAACAAACAAAAAAAGAAAATTTTTTGTACAGATCGCCCCAAAAAATAATGGTCTCATATTGTGCATTTTGGGAAATCTCATCAGCCAAACAGTGCACATCCATAATGCGTGACTTAAAAGCTCATATTAGAAATAAACAATTCCTTAATTATGCTCAAATGCATAGATATGATCAAATCTATAGATGTTAAGAAATTTTGTACGTAGAAACATACAGCAGTATGCAGGAGTACATTACAAAACCTTATTTTGTAAACATCATAAACATACAGATTTGTGATTTTATAACACCGTGCTCGCCGGATCGTCTCGCCGCTCGACCTTGTTTCCCGTAGAGCCGCATGCACACGTGTGCCGGCCCGCTTTAAACACGAGAGTCGTGATGCTGTCGCCATGGTTACGCTGTCGCTGTGGCAGCCGGAGTCTAATCCACACCATCAAAGCCCTGAGCGTTTTCGATGGCCATGTGCAGCTTCTCACGGAGCTCCTCGAACGTCTCGTACGGAGGGAGATCCAAGCGGTTGAAACTGATGGAGAGACGCATGAATGAGACAGGAGAGACAGACAGACAGGTAGACAGACAGACAGACACACAGATCTCTCACCAGGTGTGCGCTCGGGGCAGTTTGTCCCGCGTGCCCCACTGTTCAATAGTGAACAACTGCGGCCCGTTGGATCCTGATCAATCAGAGAAACACAGCATTGCACTTTACCGAACAAACTGAAAATCCATTAAATGAAGAAGCCAGCACAAACATTAATATTAATGAGCATTGTGATTTGGGGGGGGGAGGGGCTTACCGTAGAGCTCAGCGAAGCCGTTCATTGGTACACGGGATGTTCCCGTCACAAACTGCAGCAAACGGATTCGCTTTTCTGCATCCATCAGCAACACCGTCTGAAATACCATCAACAATGAGCTGCTACATCAAATCAATTCATTCTGATTATCAGTAATAATAAATGTAAGCGTGGTGCAATAGTAATGCAGTGAGTGTCATCTTATTAAAGCGTTAAAGCTGTGCGTTACAGTGATTTTACCATGGTTAAGGGGGGGGGGTTAGGAACTTGCTATGCACAACAACAACACTTAATCGATCCTGATAAAAATCACTGTTATTGCTCATTTATGGCAAAAGTCAGAATCACAATTATTTTGTTTGTTCAATACTAAGATTACGGTTATTTCGTGATTACTCACAGACTTCATAAACATCATGCATTTATTGAACTTTTAAAAAAAAATGTATTTTTGACAGTGGATATCCCTGAATATCAAATATAATTCAACTGGAGGGAAAAAAAAGCAATTAAATAAATTATATACAGTATAATGTATATACATAAATTTATATACTGATTTATATACATAAATGTGATCATGGTTATTTCATGATTACGATTATTATATCACAATTAGTCGAAGACTTTAAAAAACATTATGCATTTATTGAACTTTTTTTTTTTTTTTTATGTCTTTTTGACAGTGGATTTCCTTGAAATTTAAATCTAACTGAAAATAAAATAAAAATAAATTAAACAAATTTACAAAACAAATAAAAATAAATAAATAGTAGATGAAAGATAAAATTTAAATAAAAACTTATAATAAATAAAACAAATAAAATGTATTTATATATATATATAAATATTTAAATAAATACAAATATATATATAAAATAAATAAATAAATACATTTGTTAAAAATAAAGAGCAACTATTTTGTTTTAGTGCACTTCTACAAGCTACTGAAAAGTACTAGACATTTAAGGAAGGGTGAAAGTGTACTGCTGTATGGGAAAGGGACGTGCTGAATTTATAACAAAAAAGGCAAAACAAGAGCAAAACCAGACAAAACTGAATGTGGCACAATAATTGTTTCAGCTCAAAGCCAAAAATGTAATTGAAATAATTATATTAATCACCCAGCCCTATTTATAAGACTTAAGTTTAACCTTAAAAAGTTGCAAAAGTACAAAAGTTTATGTGATTTGACTTAATAAAAAACAAAACAAAACAAAAACAATCAAATCTGACCTTCCAGAACCAGATGATGGCGGGGTGATTTGGGTTGTAGCCATTTTTATATTTGGTGTTTTCTCTCCAGTCGTTGACATCCACGTCTCCTAAGCCACACATCAACAGCTGAGGAACACAGAGACGCTCAGGTTCTGAGAGCTCACATGAATCAAGTTACGCACCATCAAAAGTCTCACACGGTGTCTCACCTCCAGCTCGTTTTCATCAAAGATCTTCATCAGGTCCTGAGGAATCAGCTCATAGAAACCCTGCAGATAAAACATAAGACAGTCAAACTCTGGGTGGGTGGCAGTGACCCAAAGCGACTGAACGAGGGTCTGTACCTCCTTGAAGGCCGTCATCTGTCTCTGGATCCGATCTACAAACCTCCACTGCATCACCAGACTGCAAAGAAACACCACAGGACATAGTATTACATCTTGAAGCCTGTCCCACATGAAAACAGTGATATTCACGTGTCAGATGTGTTGTGGTTTGTCTATGTGCCACTAGAGGGCGGTAAAACATACTGAATATACTCCTTCTTGTTGGCGTCATTGACCACAATATCAGCACCTCCTGGTTTCAGCTCATGCTGGTGCGTCTGTGGAAGAGATCGGATCAATATCAGAATATATTTACCTACACAAATCATATCTTTGGGGTCTTTTAAAAGAATAGTTAACCTGAAATGTTTTTAATTTTTTAATGACTCAAACATCGGTCCGTTCCTTACACAAAGCTGCCGTATGCTTTCAGAAGTCTTGGACTATAAAGCTGCATGGACTACTTTTAGCTCAGAATAGATCACCTGTCCAAAGAGCTCCTCGTCGATGGTGAACCTGAGGTCCAGATCTGTGGGGTCGTTCTCCAAGATCCATCGGAGGGAGTTGAAGTACTCGCTGTCCTGAAATAACACGACCAGAAACAGTGTGTGATACTAAACTAAAGCTCCATGGGACATTAGGCACATCATTAGTGTTAACAGCACTCACTATGTTAAAATATAACTTATACTTCTTATTACCTAGAAGCAATTACTTTTTTTTTTATACTACTATGCTGTACACATTGTATACTATATATAAAAAAAAATTAAACTTTTGTTTTATAGAAATTGTCTTTTTAACAGTGGGTTTCCTTTAAGTTTAAATATAACTGAAATGATAAACTCAATTAGATTTAAAAAATCTATATAAAAAAAGAATAATACGTAATATATATTTTTATATATCTTTATGTAAATAATATAAAAATACTAAATAAATAAAATAAATTCGATCAAAATAAATAAGAGCGACTATGTTGCTGTAGTGCACTTCTACAACCTTTAGGAACATTTAGGAAGGGGTAAAAGCAAACGCTATAAAGCACTGTCATATATATATATTTATATATATATATAGGGCTCCAGACAAAAAAAATCAATTAAGGAGCCACTGGCTCCTATAAGAAACAAAATTAGGCACCAAATAATTTTTTTTAAGTACCACAGAATAATTCATTTATTTATTTATTTATTCATTCATATTTTTTAACACTTTAACATTTCAGTCATACTGTCATGTGTTTATGTCTAAGTCCTCTACTGCTCCTGTCTCTCACGGTGTTCCTCAGGGTTCGGTTCTTGGGCCTTTACTCTTCATCATCTATATGCTCCCTTTAGGTAACATTATCCGTCATCACGGCTTCAACTTGCTATGCAGATGACACCCCGCTCTATATCAGTTCTCAATACAACTCTCCTTTTCCCACCAACTCCATATCAGCTTGTATTAATGATATAAATGCTTGGATGACCAGTAACTTTCTCAAACTCAACACTGATAAAACAGATCTACTACTTGTCGGTTCACCAAAAAATGTTGCTCCTTTCTGTGCTGACAATGTTAACATTGCTGGGATCTTGGTTCGACCTTCCACCTCCGTTAAAAACCTGGGTATAATCTTTGACTCCTCTCTCTCCTTCCTACCTCACATTTCTTCACTCATTAAATCTGCCTTCTTTGACCTCCGTAACATCGCTCGCTTCCGTCCCTTCTTAAATATCAATGATGCTGAGACACTGGTTCATGCCTTCATTACTTCTCGACTCAACTACTGTAATTCTCTTTTCTATGGTCTACCAAACACAACATTAAATAAGCTCCAATATATCCAGAAATCTGCAGCTAGGGTTCTCACTTTTTACTCTGCAGCTAGGGTTCTCACTTTTTCAAAGAAATCTTCTCACATTACTCCCATCCTACACAGACTTCATTGGCTACCCATTCGTTTTCGTATTCAATACAAGATTCTCCTCATCACCTTCAAAGCACTTCATGGTTTCGCCCCCCCATATATTTCTGATCTCATTCATACTTACTCCCCAGTTCGCACACTACGCTCTTCAGATACTGGTCTACTGTTAATTCCACGCCACAGGTTAGCATCGTTTGATGGACGAGCGTTTTGTATCTCTGCCACACTCCAGAATTCTATTACCAAACACATTTGTGATCTTTCTTCATTACAGGATTTCAAAACCCACCTTAAAACATATCTTTTCCTTTCTTGTTTCTCTGATCTCTAACTGCATGATCTGAAAGCGACCTTGATTTTGCAGAAAGGCGCTATATAAAATAAACTTCTTCATCTTTTCTTGTCTTTATTAGCATTTTAATCCATCTTGTAGATGTCCTGGGAACTATGGTTCACTTAAAGTGGGAACTAAACGTCTTTTCCAACTTGAGAACTATATACAGTCTCAAAGAATTGTTTATTACACAGAATCTGTGCCAATATCAGGGCTCATAACTACGTCAGCATCACTGGACCCTTAAGTGTAGTTTGGGCTCTTCCTCAATGCATCTTATAAATGCTCTCATATGTCTTGCACACATCCAGTCTGCTTTTCTTCATTAGTAACATGGAGTTATATAGGAGGTGTTGAATTTTATCTTTACCTCCTTGCATTCTTTCTTATGTAGACAACAGGTTAAGTAAAAAAATTTTCCTCTTTATAGTTATTTTTCTAGCAGACTGATGAGCTTATGGACGCCGAATGGTTATTCTGAGGTAAATGATTGTTACGTGGAATTGTTTACAAGCTTTACATGTTTTCCGCAGTCTGAAACGCTGAATGAGCGATTACATGAGACATTTCAGTAAGCTGTACTGTATCTTTATAAAATACCTTCTGATGTGCATTCATGTTTAATTCGTACTATAGTAGTAAAGAGAAAGATATGATGGGTTCACATGCCGCTTGAACTTGAGGCGCTAAAGCTATTTAATTTTTGAATTTCGTTATGAATTTGGCAGAATTTTAAAGCTGATACTGTTTATTAAAAGGTAACAGAGCACAAAGCTTATAGCGATTATTGGATAATAATATGAAGTTCACGCATTAACAGAACACAGCATATAGACTAAAGATCTTGATAAGAAGAAGCCATATCAGTATCGATTATAAACGAGAGCTGTTAACGATACTGTTAATGTCCACACAGCTCAGAGCTTTACCTGTTGTAGTTTGTTCAAGTTGTGCACGAAACAGACCCTGCTTTTTTGCACGTCATTTTCAATCTCTCTCACGCTGCCACAACTGGTGTGCCGTCAACGCTGGCTTAAACTTTGATGAGCATCAACAACGTTTATTACGTCAACATAACAAAAGACGTGATCGCAAAACAAGCAGGAAAAAAGGCATTACATGCAAATTTTAAAATCATAACATGTACATTTATATAGTCGCCAGTGGTGATCTCAGCAAAAATATCACTCGCAAATTAATATTTTTGGTCGCAAATGCGACCGTTTTAGGCGCAGTCTGGAGCCTTGTATACATACATATATATATTTTTTTAAGGAACCATGCAATGATACACATTTCAAACAGTAGTTGTCACCTCAGTACATTACACATTTAATTAAATTTATTTATAAAATAAATTTAATATTTTAAATTTTAATCCAATTTTTGTGTAAAAATGACAATTTGAGCACATTGCATTGTGGGATACATAGTCATATACTGCACAATAAAATATTTGGTGAATGCAGTAGGTCCTCCAAGTATTTAAAGCAAAAAAAAAAAAAATAAATAAATAAAAAAGAAATATATGTTTTAGGTTTAGCATAAATTTAAATGTAGTTTAGAGCATGTATGCATTATGTATAGATTATTTCTTTTATATTTTGAGTGTGACAATTTTACTATCAGTCCAGGGACTGCAGATGTTAAACAGCCTTCTGGCTAATTCTGGCACATTGTACATTTATGTATTATTGACGTGCATTGTCCCTGTCAAATAAACCTGAATAATAACAACAATAACATACCGCTGAAGTAGTATGCTATTTAGCAGGTAGTATGGTAATACACTATTCAGTAGGGCTGTGCAAAAAATCGAATGCGATTTTGTCACTAATGCGATAAAGCCACTCCTGTGATTTGAAATAAATGTCCAGCACGTGCATTCAGATGGAGCAGCATTTACTACACAGAGCCGTAGTTCACTGACAAGCTACACAAAATC